TATGTATATGTATATGTATATGTATATGTATATATATATAATCATATATACATGTGTGCGTCCGTACGTGTGTACGCGCGTGTCTACGTGGGCTGCTAGTGCCTACGACATTGCGCGTGTGTATGTGTGTGTGAGTACGCGAATATGACGAAGATTTCTTTCTATATCTTCCTATTTCGATCAAACGCGGACGCTGTGCACGCTCGAGCCTCGCCCATGCGCTCACACACCTTCCGTGGCGCCGGCCATGTTAAGGCACATGTAGGTAGGGTTGAAGAGCAGATTCTTGAAGGCCAGCGGAAGGTCCCGCAGACTCTTGCCAAAGCCACTCCGCGCCACCTCCTCGTCCTCGCTACCGTGGTGTTCCTTCACCCGTTCTGCCTGCGCCCGGGAAGCCCCTGCAGAAGAGAGAGATTTAGTAGAGAGGGTAAGATTTATGGGTGTAGTCGTAGCCATCTCATCTTACTGTATTACCGAAACTCGATCTATCACAATTCTCATTAATTACCATTCACGCTATTCTAATTATTATTCATGCTTTTTGCTCGCGATTCCAATTATCTGTCGCTCTTTTTTTAATTGCCGTCTTAATTTTTATTAACCTTTTATATCTACCGTTTTAATTAGTATTCACTTTTTATGTCTATCGTTCTAATTATTATTGACTTTTTATATCTATCGCTGTAATTATTATTCTCCTTTTATATCTACCATGCTGATTATTATTCACGCTTTGTAGCTATAACTACATGCATTACGCAATTAATTACGTTTTGCATTCCGGCACGCTGCTCGCTATTCAACATTTTATATTTGCGGATATCATTTCTGCTGTGTCTCCCGCATGCTAGTTGATATTCGTGCGCCATAGCTCGGGATACACGTGTACTTTGTTTCGCTTTATCAAGCTCGCACGCGATCTGCTCTGAATACAGAGATACACTGAATACGCGAAGAGCAGCAGTCGGCGAACTATGAACTAGCTGCTCGCATCATTATTACGACCCCCGGCAACTTTATTATATTTCGTATCTCGCAGAGCTGACATCCCATTATCGTGATGGGGGATCGGGATCGCCATGCAATTTCCACTGCCCCAGACGCCATATCTCGCGTTTCCGTCTACGCCTTTGCCATATCTACAATCCGTCGACGGGTTTTATTTTACGCAATACGATATACGCGATGATAACTATTATTATTTGCAACCTACCATGCCATTATTGTATTAATTGTAGTCATTTTCCTTAACAGCTGCAGGCGCCATATCTCACGTTCACATCTACACCTTTGCTATATATATATATATATATTGATCGGGTCTATTTTGAACGATGAGGTATGTGATCAAGACCTGTAGATTAGAAATAGCGTGAATCACGCTGCCCGGAATATCGAACAGCTGCGACTGTGCAACTGCGTAGTAGTAGACCCAGGCGGCGGTTTATTTATTCACCCGCACATACATAAATTCGAAGCAGATATACAAGCACCTTACGCCACTGCTTCACTCCTGATAACGTTAGCTTGTCAGTAGGCTTCCTCTCAGGACGACTAAATCGTATAGCAGAGATGCGCTATGTGCGGGAAGATGGCAGCGCAGCCGCGATTGCCACTAGGGGGCGTCTGTGCGTTCGTTCAGATTTATCCTTTGAGCTGCAAATGTCGCTCGAGGCGGTCTCTGCGGTCGCTCACCTTACCGGTAAGCGCTCTGGAAATTCGAGCATCGGTATGGAGATGAGGAGACAGATGAAGGCGGCTCCGAAGAGCCGATCCACCAGGCTCCGACCCACTTTGAACTCGACGGCTGAAGCCGCAGAGCCTAGAGCGAACGCATCGACGATGTAGAATATCATACACAATGGCGGTTGAAATGCATGTTTCTGCTAGAGATACCGAACGCAAATTTCCGAGTTGCAAGCTTCTAGGGTATTTATCATACATGCAAATAAAAATATCGACCTTTCCCCTAAGGTTTAAATAGACGATGCGTGATGAAATAAAAAACTCTAAATTATTTTATCGCGCGGGAAAATACGTAATGTATTTTTTTATTGACGATGATTTCAGTACAGATCGATATAAGATTAATATGGCGGCATATATTCGCGTTTAGGTGGTTATATTACATACGAAATCTCTTGGAAATTGATCTGGGCGAATGCTGTGCACCGAAACCAAGTCACGTTTCTCTTAGAAATGGATTGCGGAAAATCTTGGACGAGAGCGCAATAAGTGCAACAGACAACTTGACCGCAATGTTGCGGCGGACGGAATCGAATATATTTCAGAATGTCCTTCAAGCCTGCACGATTGCGTGTACGATTGCTGGTACAGCTGTCGTTGCGGTGTACCGCGTGCATGCACGTTCGTGCGTGTATATGTCGCGCGTATTTATGCGTGCCAGCGCACGAAAGCACACGCGTGCCGTTCGTGCGTGTACGTATGCGCGTATGCACGCGTGCGCGTTCGCGACGGCGCGCGTGAGTTCACGAGGATACCACGCTGTAGAATATGATCACTTACTCGGTCGGGTCGACCATCGGAGCATCGACGTAGATTTGCAGCAGATATCCGCCGGCCATGTATCCTATAGCGGGCCCTACTAGCGCCATCGTGTAGTAGATAGCTGACAACAATGAAACGTTATACATCATGTTACGAACGCGTGCGATACAGAGATGGATGCTAGATGTTAAAGATGCTAGAATGAATCCTCGATAGCTAACTTCGTGTATTCCAGTTTCCATTAGAGAGAAATATTATCGACAACGACAACGACAACGACAACGATAACGCACAACAACAACAACAACAACAACAACAACAACAACAACAACAACAACAACAATATAATAATAATAATCATATAATGATAATAAACATGAACATCAATGAAATAGTCGAGCACACCAGCACGCGGTCCTTGTATACTTCATCTACTCTGCCGGCGTATTTTCCTGACAAATGCGCTTTCCCCCTAAACAACCTAGCAAACTACTTCGACGTTATCTCACAAGACTCGTGGCCGAGGGAGAGAGGCGACTATAAATAGAGTACGCCGCACGTTTACATAAGTGATAGGCGTGTGACTCGTCAGCAAGGCGCGACTGTCGGGTCACTGACTCGCATTGGGAATTGAGGGACCCTGCGCGCTGCGTGTCGCCAGCCGACAGATTCTCGTCATCCACGAGGTGAGCGCGCGGTGTTAACGCACGTCGGCCATCTCCCGGTTAATCGATGAGCCACTTACGCTCCACTTACAGCGCGGCCGGAGTTGCTACAACAAGCACCGGTAGGATTGGCGCGAGGCTGCGCCCGCTCGTGTGATAGGAATGGATGTCCACTGTGCGTGGTCAGTGGCATGGTCGGTGTTGCTGGGGCGCAGAATCACGGACAAGATAATGATGATATCGCCGACGTGCGGTAGTTGATGAGGGGCAGAGCAACTAAAGTAATCAGGGTCGAGAAAGAAGTGGGCCGATGATGATCATGGCTAGAATGTCGAATGGGCATGGGATGTGGATGATGCGAAGATGGTGAGATGGTTAGGGTTGGGGATATGGGCGCTGAGACGATCATCCCTTCCCTCCCCCGCGCTGCGGTTTTCTCTCTCCCCTTTCCTCCTTACTCTTTTTCTCCTTCACCCTTTTTTCCCGTATCGCTCGCTCTTTTTCTCTCTCATTCTCTCTGTCTCTCTCTCTCTTTTCTCTCTCCCCCTCTCTTTCTTTATCTCGTTATTGCTCTCTCTCCGCTCGTTCTCTCTGTTTTCTATCTCTCTCTTGCTTTATCTCTCTATCGCTCTCCCTTCTCTTGCTTGCTCGCTCTTTCTCTCTCTCTCTCCCTGTTTGTCTGTGCGTGCATGTGTGTACGCGCGCGCGCCGCCGCGCGTGCGCGTGTGTGTGTGTGGTGTGTGTGCGCGTGTTGGGCTGTGTGTGCAGTGGTGTGTGTGTGTGTATGTGTGTGTGTTGTGTGTTGTGTTGTGTGTGTGATGTGTGTGTGTGTGTCTCGTCATACTCTCTCTCTCTCCCTGTGTGTCTCTCTCTCTCTATCGCTCTCTCTCTCTCTCTCTCTCTCTCTCTCTCTCTACGCTCACTCTCTCTACCCCCACCTCTATCTCTCTCTCAGTATCTCTTCTATTCCTCTATATTTGCTCACCTACGTAGACAGACACGAGTTTCGGCCGCACGTTGTCGTCGATGAAGGCGACTCCGATCGTGTAGAGCGGCGCAGCGCCGATACCATGTAACAGCTGTCCCAGATAGAACACATACTTGTAGTGATTGAGCGACCTGTCGGCGCCACCGTCGCCACACGCCGACAACGACGTCGTGTCGTTGCTCAGCGCCGCCGCTGCTGCTGCTCCACAAAGAACGACGGTGTCATTGCGGACGGTAACTGTCGTCAAGGCGCCCGCCGCCAGATGCGGCAGGCAGAAGACGAAGGATCCGAGACCCATGATGAGCGAACCGATGCCGAGCCAGCGCGGCTTGTGCGCATGCGCGCCGAGATAACTGACGGGCAGCGCGAGGAGGACGGCGGCGATGTCGTAGCTGCTGGCGATGAGGCCCGCCTCGGCGCTCGACAGCGAGAAGCGTTTCTCGACGGTCGTGATGACGACGTTGACAAATCCGTTGACGATCATGCCCTGCACGGCGCCGATCCAGCAGATAAAGAAGAGAAACCACTTCGGGTTGCGCAGCCACTGTAGGCACGCCGGACAGAATCGACCCCAACCGTACAAATCCGCTTCGCTGTCCTCCTCCTCATCGTTGTCGTGAGGGGAGTCGTCTATCCACGCGTCCGTATCTCCCTGCTCGGTGTCGGCACCGCCGCACATCCCCCGCGCGTCTGCGATGTACAGCTTCGCTGCTTCCGTACAGCAGATAACGTCGGCGTTCGTGACGTAGGCGTCGGCTGAATCGCTGGCGAAGCCTTCCCCGGAGTCGACGCTGTATTGACAGACGTCGGCATCTGTCTTCTCTATCGCCGGCATTCTCTATCTCTTACGCTGACGAAGGATGGCGTTCTCTTTAACTGAAGCTGAAGCTAGTGTTCGTTAGCATCCTGCCTTCGTTTGCTAGTATCTATCGGCTGCCGTCGCTGCTGCTCCTCCGTCGCTGCTGCGGATGATGCTGCTGCTGCTGCTGCTGCTTCGGCTGCTACTGCTAATGCTGCTGCTACTACTGCTGCTGCGGCGGCTGCTGCTGCTACTGCTGCTGCTGCTGCTGCTGCTGCTGTCACGCGACTGCTGTCATAGAGAGCCTGGCGAGCACGCGCGAGGGCTCTGCTCTAATAAGTGCTGTGCTTAATAATTTGTGATGCAGATCAGACGCCTCTGTCTGTCGAACATTCGGCGTGTCAGCGACGAATCGGCTTAACGAAGCAGCGACTCCGCTAGCATTCGGGATATCTCCCCCTGGCGCTGTCTCTTTTTCTCGTTCGTGGTCTCTCTCTCTCTCTCTCTCTCTCTCTCTCTCTCGTCCTCCCCCTCTCTCTCTTTCTCTCTTTCTTTCTCTCTCGTTCTCTAATGCTCGCTCTCTCTTTCACTCCTCTTTCTCCCTCTCCCTTTCCCTCTTCCCTTCTCTTTCGATCTCTCTTCCTCTATCAATGTATCCTGTGGCTTTCCTCGTGCCCTGACTCGCCGTAGCTCAATTTCCGTGACGATGATTCCGATATGCAAATTTGCTTGCGCGTTGTCACAGCTTCTTGATTCCTTATACAGTGACAGTGCCTCCTGGGTTCACTCCTGCATGAAAGAAAAGAATCGATGTTTGTTATTGACACGTGCTGTTTCAGGAAAAACTGCGGAGCATGACGAAGGAAATACAACATTGTAAACACATGTCAGCATGTAGGAGAAACAAAACCAGAGTAATGATAAAATCGATAGCTCAATAAAACTATCTACAACAAGAATTCGCTGAGATCGCATACTGTGTAACTCCAAAAGAAACGAATCTTTATTGATTTGATATCCCGCGCATTTATTCGGGCGCTTAAAATGGGTCAAGCTGGCTTCCCACTGTTATTATCTTTCTCGTTTTCCCTCTCCTTATTTTTCAATGTCATTCCCTATTCCCACAACGAAACGTTCTAGATATGTACACACGCAGGTTAGGAATCTTGAGTGCGGAATGCCTTTAGGCGGCCGATCCTTAATTAAAATTGAAACAGAATTTCTGTGCCACGTCAGAGCGCCATATTGACACGAGGCCTCTGCCATCAACGCGACCTCCATGACAGTCCCAGGGGGCGTCTCTTAAACACACACAGAAATGTGATAGAAAGTGAAAAGTGGCAATAAAAATGTCGCGTGTAAGTACTCCGCCCTTGGTCACAGCGATTGCAACCGCCCTCCATTTATTTTAATCGAATTTATTACTCTGACAATTCTTGAGTCTACGCACCATTTTTTTTAATATTCCGACAGACTTGCTGTGCCCATCAAAATCTCTTGAGGTGTGGCAAATCCTTGCCACCCATGTCAACAGTGAGCAAGTATGTTGTGTTTACAAAATTGCGATTGTTTTTTTTATCATTTTGTTGTTTTTCATTATTGTTTTTTTTTATGTGTGTCATGTGATATTAGCTATTTGGTGTCGGCGCAAGTATAGGCAAGTAAATGTACGAGGAGCGTTGGCAGATAGCACGCGTGTGTTCCCGACTGCATGACGCAGAGGAAAAGAAAACCACTTACCTACATATACGTAGCGTGTACACGAGTAATTTGAACGCACTTGCGTCATGATTTCCGAAAAGCGTATACATTAAAATGACGACATTAAACCCGTAATGAGACAAGTCAAGCGTAATGAGTATTAATGAGCTCATCGCTATAATAACTAATTACGATAATGAGTGACGAGCCGTATAGCGGCTGGGTGAAAAAAGGACACACTGGGATAGAGACTACGTTATGCTCCATTACCACTGAACATCGCATTTTCCAGCCGAGCGAGCGTTGATGCATTCATGAATTCGAGAAGCGAGTTCTATGTGTCACTATACCGCTGCCTCTGTACCAACGTTCGGCCCCGCGTGATATATAATTATGGCAAGAAAGGCGAAACTTGATGTATATCGATTAGTAATACATGTTATTTATGGATCTACAGACCCATCTACCGACACACACACACGCAGAGTATATATATATATATGTGTGTATAGGCAATATATATATAATAGTATATATATTATATATATATACTATTATATATTATATATGCTGTGCCCTGCTGGTGTGACGTGTGTTGTGCGTGTGTGTGTGTGTGTGTGTGTGTGGTGTGTGTATGTGTGTGTGTGATGTGTGGCTGTGGTGTGTGTGTGTGCGCGCGCCGTGCCGTCGACGTCGCGATGCGTATGCGTGATGTGTGGTGTCGCTGTCGTGTTTTTTTCATGCGTACGTCACGTGCGCGCTGTGAGTGCTAAGTGCGTCGTGCCGGTGTGCTTGCGCAGCCGGTGTGTATAGGCATTCATGCACGTGATCTAATAATAGGCCGATACGGTTAGCCTAACTAGTATAACAGACAGCAGAGATTTGTTTATCGCGCGACGGTCACATATACATTGCTACAAGAACACGCTCTTGATTGTACGACATAATCACTTTGCCAATGTTCGTGCGACAGCAAATCTCCCACATTATCCCCTCTCATTCCTAGCTTACGTACGCCGCCGCTCAAGCCATCCATTAAATCAGAACCCGTGCTAATTAGAAGCAATTCATTACCGTGGGACCATCTCAATACCACCCGCCCCTCAGCTGTCTGCCGCATTGATTAAATTCAAACGCCTTACCCAGTCGCGACCGCCAGCACTTCAATCATATCCAATCAATATACGGGCTTCACACAGATCAGATGACGCATCGCATCTACTGCTCGGTTACACCCGCCTGATGAATCCTGAGCAGTAAATACTCACTCGCAGCTGCGAAACACCGGCGTCCCGGCGGACGCCACGCTAATGGTTACACTAGTGCGCGACAGATTCTCATGACTGTCTGCGTGCCAAAGACGGCGTAACCCACGGCCCAATATGACAGGCGACGCGGGTGACGGAATCGGCGCGGGATCGGACAATGCAGCCTCTAGGCAGCTGATTGGTATCACCAGCGGGGCTGACAGACGGACACGCTGACAGCCGAGAGATCAATGAGTGAGCACGGGTTATGTAGTTCAGGACTGTGCGGCGCGCACACCATGAGGACTGTCGTGTGCGTGCGTGTGTTGTGTGTGGTGTGTGTGTGTGTGGTGTGTAGTGTGTGTGTAGTGTGTGTGTGTGTGTGTCGTGACCGTTGCGTGCAGTGACGTACTGCGTGCTGCGTCTGTGTGGCGTTGTGTCGCTGTGACCACGCACGGCGACAGTTCACACGCCGTTGACTGTGTCTGCGAGGAAGACAGGAGCAATCGGGACCTCTCCTATTACACCCCCCGCAGCCCGGTGACACACCCATTCGTCGCGCACACTACTTACTTACTATGCGACTCGTAACCCGTGCGACCTACTCCGCCAGAGTTGCTGCTCTGTTTGAGCATCCTATTGTGACGAAAAAAGCGGGCTGTATATGTCGTGGAGAAGTGATAGCAAAGATGCACCTCACTAACCACGACACACTGCCGCGCTTGCGCGCCGCAACCACACACACACCACACACACACACACACACACACACCACACTACACACACAACGCGGCCGCGGCGCATACACACACTAGAATGATTGTTGCTCTCTTTTCCATTTTGCCATTCATACAGCGATGTTTGGTTAGCGGCCCGTTTTGCTACATTAATTCTAACAAGCTAATGTTCTCCACAGAGCTATGTGCATACAATGCTATATTCCATACAACAAAAAAAATACCGTGAAATCTAGGCTACTTTGAAGTCCTTAAGAACTCTCTCTCTTCTTCTCTCTCTCTCATCTCCTCTCTCTCTCGCACACCCACACACACACACACATACTATATAATAATTATATATATATATATATATATATATAAATACATTATATATATACACTTGTAACGTCAAAATTGATGGCTGGTGTGTCATAGGGTATATATATCATATATATAATAGATATATATTATATAGATGTATTATATGCCATATATGTGTATGTGTGTGTGCGGTAATACAAATGTAAAAACTTGAATGCGCAATTGAACGCGAAGCTCTTATATATAGAGCCGCGTCATTGGTCGCGAATCTATTCTGACGCGCAGGTTCAACAACACCAAGCTTCTAATCTCCCGGATTAAAAAAAAAAAACCACAAATAAAAACAAAAGAAACAACAAATCCAAAAGAAAAAAAACAAAAAAAAAATAGGCAAAGAAAAAAAAAAAAAACAAAAAAAAGAAAAAAAAAAAAAAAAAAAGAAAAAAAAAAAAAAAAGCCTATGAAACACTAACAAAAAAAAAAACAAAAAAACACAACAAAAAAAAAGAGGGACAAAACAAAAAAAAATAAAAAAAAAAACGAAAAAAAAAAGAGAAAAGAAAAGACGAAAAGAAGATACAAGGAAAAATAATAAGACATTGAATAAAAGCGCAGAAGCATCGTTCAGGACTTCGCCGAGAGCCACAAGAATCATGCCGTCGTGAAGCGCACCACTTACATTTTTGGACATTTCGTTGCCGCCTCTGTCTGACACAGGAGGAATCGATATCAGTTCGATATTACAGTGGTCAATATTTTAGGATGCAGTAGGGAGTCAGCGATGTATATGACGAACGATAACAGCAGGAAGGCGTCAATACTATATTCAGCGCGGCGAGCTGATGTTAGCTTACTATTATTTACTGTGGTCCGCCATCGGTATATATATGCAATAATTATTTACCATTAGCCTTTCTCTCTCCATTATTCGCTTTCTCATTTCTCTCTCTCTCTCTCGCTCATCTCTCATCTCTCTCTCTCTCTCTGGCTCTCTCTCTTTCTCTCTGGCTCTCTCTCTCTCTCTTTCTCTCTGGCTCTCTCTCTCTCTCTCTCTTCCTTTCTCTCTCTCTTTCTCTCTCTCTCTCTCTCTCTCTCTCTCTCTCTCTCTTCCTCTCTCTCTTTCTCTCTCTCTCTCTCTCTCTCTCTCTCTCTGCCTCTCTCTATCTCTCTCTCCCTATGCAACACTGTAATTAACGTGCATATAAAAAGTATGACTCCAACTCCTTCTCGTAGTTTTCCTCACTAATGTCACAATAAATCCACCGGGACAGATTTACAGCGATTTATATTTCATGGCCAGAATTTGTTAACGCCATTAATTCTCTTAAGCCGTAATTGAGTAACAGTGACCATAGTAACTACGAAAACAACAGCCATTGCCAAGCTTGTCTTGCCACGCGATTCGAGCGTTTGCGTGCTCCCGTGGTCAGCAGCAGGCTACGGCCGCCAGTGCGGGTGCAATCGCTACCGCGGTGCGTGTCTGTGCGTCGTGCGTGCACGCGTGCAATTGAGTATGCATGCGTGTGTGTTACGTGCCTTCCGTGCATCGATGTACGCTGGTTGGGTGGTGCGGTGAGTAGCGGCGTCGGTGCAATCTGAGTACTGCCGGGTGCAGTGCATCGTGTGTACGTCACCTCGCGGCGTGCAATCGAGATGGCATGCGGCTCGGTGTGCGTGCGTGCGCGCGTGGCCCCAGATCGCAGTATGCAGTGCGTGTGTGTACGCCTGCACTCCGCGCTGCTGCAATCGGGTATGGTTATTTGCGAATTGTGTGTGCGTGCCGTGCGCGCTCTGCAATCGC